ACACACACACACTCACAGTTTGTACAGAGTGAAGCATAAAAGAGGAAGCAGTTGCATATCAAACACAAACAGACAGTGTTTGCTCAGTGATTGGGCCGTCCAAACACAGAACCCCAGACACACACACACACACACACGACACATACTCAGACACACATGATAGAGTCAGAGAAGAAAGAGGAAGCAGACAAAAGATTCATTTGATCCTTTTCCAAAACTAATAATAATACATGAGAAGAGGAAAAGTGTTTTTAACCTAGATCATGCAGGGAATAAAAATTAAATTGCCTTTTAATTAGACTTTTATTTAGTTTTATTGTCTTATTAATCTATTTATTTACAGATTTGTATTCATTATATTTTATTTTATATCTTTTATTTTATTATGTCTCTGTTTTTAATTCTTGACTGCACCTTAATTTGTAATTTCATTGTAAATTTCCTGTATAGTTTTTATGTCTGTGAAGCTTGGTTGTGAAAATTGCTACATAAATAAAGTGAATTATTATTATTAATATTGCATGTAAACCATAATGACTGCCAACAGTTTTTGTGTTGGGATTATAGCAGAAATCTTAGAGACAAATATATCAAAATGGCAGCACATGTATGGCTCAAAGTTAAGTGAGATAATGTGTGTATGAAACCATCAAACAGCCTGAAGTGAGAACCAGCCAAAACCCTGACACTAGCTGTCACAACGACAGAAATACAAACTCTCTCTCACACACACGCACACACACACACACACAAACACACACACACACACACACACATATGGATGAGCATTATCTGAAAGCTGACACTCTGATTAACTTTTATCTGGTCCTTGTGTGACCTGATTGACAGCTGTGGCTGTTGAGTCATGGTGTTTATGTGCTGTGTGTGTTTTGCTAACATTATCAATTCAAATACATCTACACACACACAAGCAGGAGCACATTTAAGCAAATGTACATTCCTATACACATACACACACACCAGTCGGACAGGCTTGCATCAGCCAGTGGTGAATAATACTCTCAGTTTATTTATAATCACCAAAGAAACAGTAAAACACACATTGTGTATTGCATATTTAGATTCACATCTCCCCTGACACTTCACCTGCAAACATTGTCCACCTCTAAGGCGTGGATGCGTGGAAGTAGGTGTGTTTGTCACAGAGATTAAGCAGCATTGTTGCTAATTTCAGGTTCAGCCAGGTCGCTTGCATTGTTAGAAATGTCCCTAATTACCACCCCCAGATTTCAGGCAGCATCCTCCACACTCCTATTTTTATTTTGTCACATTGTTCCATCAATCATGAATCATATGATACTAGCTGACTGGACACAGAAATGATGAACTTCTTCCCCTTTGGATCAAATGATAGGCTAAAGTAGTTTTATGGTGGCTTTAGTCTAAAAGTATACCATGCAAATATTTAAAATTGTACACTTCATACCTCAGCAATAACAATAACAGAGGTGTATGTCAGTGTTGTGTTTACAGCTTGTAACATTACGACCCCCTGGGCACCCTGGTGGTCATAATGTTCTGTAGCCCCATACCAACAAACTGTAATGCACTGTGTGTTCTGACCCCTTTCTATCAGAACCAGCATTACATTTCCTCCAGCATAAATTTGTATTATTTTGGTCATATTTTGATGTAACAGAAGGGGTCTTGAAGTATCTCATTTTTAATTTCCAATTAAATTCCTTCCATACTGGACTATGAGTAACTTTATGACCCTGCTCACACACCTCCTCCCACTCCTCATCTTCAATAACAACATTCATTTCTAACTCCCACTTTTCCTTTATATCTAAAGAATTTTCTAAGAAATGTGTTCGTAAATGTTTATATATATTGGATACCATC